CCCCAAAACCCCAAAACCCCAAAACCCCATAGTGCTTATTTTAGAGAATAGTGATATAAAATTGTTAATCTAATCTAAAATTAAAATTTCTAACAATTAAATTCAAAATTTTTCATTCTTCAAGTATTTGGTGCCTACTCCAATATTTGCATCATTAGTCTGTAGTAATAGTGAAAAATGGAATATTTGCAAATTTAATGTATTGCTTTGAGATGACCCAAATGCTATGATAAAAATCTATGAAAGATAATGCGGTGCACATTCTATTTACATATATCTCTAGCAATAAGCAATTACTACTATCAAGGCCTGCTAGAAGGGCTATCTAATAAGATAAAAAGGGAATAACAAGCCATAAATATTCAATATGAATTAGGCCAAACGGTCTTTTACTCATATTTAATAGCATCAACTTCAAGATCATAGATGTGAATACCATTTGATAGTTGAAGTAAACTATAGCTAGTTCATGTTAAAATGAAGGTAAATCACTACAAATATAGGCTATAATTAACATAGTGCCTGGAACAATTAAAAGTTTTAAAGAATCTTTCAAATCTTTCTTAAAAGCATCATATAGATTGTCGAATGTGAAAATAACCAATAGAAAGATTACCAAGACAGAGTATAAATGTCTTTATTAGAGTCCTCCCAAGAAACACTGGTCTTACATACCAAAGAATGAGCACAGAGTTCCTTCAAATATTTCTGACCCTTAAAACCCTACAAAAGCAAACAATATTGTGAAAACTAGTTCTAATTCAACTGGTCCTATCTCTCCCATTATCATATGAAGGTTACTACATACCTTATGTTTCAACTCCATTGTATAAAAAGGAAGGTTTATCAAGGAGAAGCTTATACAGTAAAATACTTGATCATTTCTAAGCATGTAGCCGATTGCCAGACCTGCACACGCATAAGTTGGCTAATCCATAGCTTCGTCGACTATCCTACCTAATGGTGTGCCTGTTTTAGTTCTCCTAGCACGCATTCCATCCATAACATCAAAGAGAGAAAACCATTAGATTGAAACTGCTACTAAGAAAAACAAATTGTCGTCAATTCTCCCAAAATTTTTGTTCTCTGTCCAAATTAAGAATACTGTTAGGATGATAGGAATTTATCCTAATATAGTGATTGCATTAGCAGACCAATTTTTAGGAAAAGCCTTTTCCAAAGGAACAAGCAGTGTATTAACATAAAATTGCTCAAGTGTAGTCTTAGGTGACTGATGCTTATATTTGTGGAATTCAACTAGCTAATCTTGGGTAAGTTCTTGAGAATTGAAAAAGCCCATCTTGTATTTTAAATATTAAATATACTTGCAACGTCAGTAGAAATTATTCTTGCTTCACGGGGTTTTGGGGTTTTGGGGTTTTGGGG